ACCCGGACCGAGCACGAGCGCAAGCGGCCAGGGCGCGCCAGGCAGGAGGACGCGCCGCGACCCCCCGTCCACGTCCGCACCATGGACGACAGCCCCACGCGACCGCCGCCGCCGCCGCCGCCGCCGCCCCCCGGCGTCGCGGCCATGTTGTCTGTCCCCGCCGCCTTCGTCGAGGACGGCCCCGTTTTTGAGAGCCACCCCCCGCCGAGGAGGGAGTCGGCCCCCGTCAGGGAGATGCTCGGCGCCACAGAGAGGGAGGTGGAGCAACTGCGCAGCCGCCAACAAGTCACGGTACGTTGTGTTTCTTTTTCACGCTGGTGCGCGATAGCGGAGGCAGGGCGAGCGCAAAACGGAAGCTAACAGAGGGATTTTTGATATGCACGGCAGAACCTGTCGCCCGAGTTTCGGGCGCTGCTGGAAGGAAACGGGCCGTCACCGGATTACCGGACGCTGGTGCGGTCGCGGTCGTTCGGGCAGCTATCGGACCAGCGGGCGGTGTCATCTGCGCTGGAGTCTGAGTTCCGGCACCACCTGGAGCACCTGCTGGGGCGTCGCGAGCACCGGGGGCTGTTGTCGGCGTCGGCGTCGTCGGCGTCGGCGTACACGGGGCCGGGGGTGGGGGTGGGGGTGGGGGTGGGGGAGTTTGGCGGGGCGGCGTACGCGGCGGGCGGGGGCGGGGGCGGGGGCGGGGTGGCTGTAGAGGCGGCGGTGGTGCGCGAGCTACGCGACGAGGTCAAGGTGGTGAAGAACTTGATGGCGGCGTCGTTCGACCTGCAGCTGGACATCCAACGGTCGATCCGGCAGGAGGTGGCTGCGGCGATGAGCTCAGCAGGGAAGGGGATGGGCGGCGGGGTGGTGCAGGAGACGTCGTCGGCGTGCACGGATATGGAGACGGAGGGGGCGACGAGGGTGCTGCGCAAGGAGAGGACGGCGAGGCCCGTGGTGGCAGGGGTTTGCACGGTGTGCCTGGAGGCTAGGATTGACTCGCTGCTGTATGGATGTGGGCATATGTGTACGTGTAGCATGTGCGGGCGGCAGCTAATCGCGTCTGGGCAGGCGTGCCCGATCTGCCGGGCACCCGTGAGAGATGTGGTAAGGGCTTTTATGGTGACGGAGTGAGGGTTTTTGTTTTGTTTTTTGTATAGTAGCGTGTGTGTGTATGTACAAGTAGATAGTTGTGTGTTGTGTAGTTGTCGTGTAGTGCGGCGGCGTAAAATAGGTTTTTGTGGACCGGGTTCTCCTGTGGACCAGGCGCTCTTGCGCAGCCTCTATCTCGAGTTTGCGGGTCGTCGCGCTGGTGGGCTGGGCTGCGGTGGTCATTGGCACTGGTGGTCATTGGCACTGGTGGTCATTGGCACTGAATTGTGCATGTCTGCGATTACCGAACTGGAATACAATTACTGCGGTGGTCATTGGCACTGTATTTGTGCACTGAATTGTGCATGTCTGCGATTACCGAACTGCAATACACAATTACACCAAGTATGGGGTGACTTGGGGATTCACAGCGGGCGCGGCGGCGGGCGGCGGCGGCGGGCGCGGCGGCGGGAGAAAGCGCGGCGGGAGAAAGCGCGTCCTGCGTGCAAGCGAAAAAAACAAAAACAGAAAGTCCTCGCTGGCTGCGGAGTCGCGCGAGGGCGTGGGGCGCTCTCACAGCGCACAGCGTCGAAACTCCAACGCGCGGTGAGTAGACATGTACTGTAGATCAGGCCGGCGGGGCGTCATACAGGCGGGGCGAGGCGTCATTGAGGCGGGCGAGGCGTCATACTGTACAGACGGTCCGCGGGGCGTGCGTCCATTCGCTGGGGCCTGCAGCTGCGGCGTGTCCACGCGCGGGGGGGCCTTGTTCACGGGTTTTGTTCAGCGGTTGCACAGGGGGTGGTTCGCGTGTGCGCGGATTTGTGTGCAAAGCAAGCGGGCGGGCGGCGCGGGGGAGCGTTCTGACCCGTTCTGACGGGGTGCGTATGATGGGGGGGCGTTCCACGTCACGCGGCTTTCCGTGGTATACTGTACAGGCGGTATGAGTTATCTTACTGTAGGGTTGGGCAGAGAGAATTAGGTTTGGAGCGGTGAATTGCGGGCGGCGTGTCTGCGGGGCCACACGCTGCGGGCGCGGGGGACAAAGCGGCGTGAATGTCCTGTCCTGCTTGCAACGTACGAGGAGGTAATTTAGATGTTTCCAAACGCGCGAGGGCGGTGGTGGCGCCGGCAGCGTGGCGCCCCGGCGTGCATTGCTGCGAACCGCGCGCTGAGCGTGCGACATAGGATACGCCGCCTATCAGCGACGCGGGAAGGGGGACCGGCGGGGGCGAGTACGGGAAATTCCCCCCACAACTGTGGGTCTCCAATTTCCCCCTACTTGTATTGGGGCGGAAAGCGGAAAGGCCCTCTTGCGCCGCCGTGCGCCGCCGTGCGCCACACTTACATGTATGCGACGGCTTTCCATGCGTCACACTCTGCCTCTCAACGCCCGTTCTTTATCTTACTGCCTCATCTCTCAGCCGCTGCCATACAAAATTATCCCGGTGCAGACCAACCGCAGCCACGCAAATAACGTGCCCACGTCACGCCCCCCAACCCCAACCCCCCCTCCGCCGGCCTCGCGCGAGGCACAGACGCAGAAAACCGCCTTCTCACGGACGCTGTGCCGCCCCCAGGGCCAACGTGGGCATTGCGCATCGCTCCCAGCCATGCTGCCACTGCATCTCCTCGCGGGCGAACCGTTGCTTCACTTGCTCTCGCATGCGCGCCGCGGCTCCTCCCCACACGCACTTGCGCAGCAACTCTTCGAGCTCGCGTGCGTCGTCAAACAGCAACCCGGTAATGCCGTCCAGCACCAGCTCGCCGATGCAGGCGAAGCGCCGCGCCAGCACGGGCGTGCCGACCGCCAGCATGTCCACCACCTTCATGGGGAGATCGAGCCCGGACGAGCTCTGGTGCATCGACACCCCAACGCTAGCACAGCCGAGCAGCCGCGGATAGTCGTCGTAGGGGAGCCACGCCAGCCACACCCCGATATGTCGGAGGTCTGCCTCCCGCAGCTGCTCCTCGAAGCCCGACCGCAGCGGCCCCTTGCCCGTGATCACCACCAGCAGCTCCTCGCCGCGTGCGTCCATAGCGCGCAAGGCGGCGAGGAGCGGCGAAAAGTCCTCGTCGGCCGTCCAGCTAGTAGACGACACCACGAGCGGCACGGCGCCCGCATCCACGCTTGCCCCATACACAGCGGCGACGGCGCGCGTCCCGTCGAGCAGCCTCGCGCGCGGCGGCGCGGAGCGCATCGCCGCGGCGAAGCGCGCCGTCGGCCGGTCGTACACCACCACGGCCGACACGGCCGCGTGCTCCTCCAAGTAG